TTCTTTAAATCAATTTTATATTTTCTGCTTCTAAAATTAGTATCTATTTTATAGTAAAGTATATTTTAGTGTAGTATAGGAAATGCTGCCATCCCACTAACCTCACTTTTTTTCTACCTCTTCGAGCAATGGAGCGATTCTTGTGAACGAATGGAGCAATACGAGTGAGTTGAGTGAACTGAGTGAAATGAGTGAGCGAAGCGAACGAATTGAACGAAGTGAGCGAAACGAACGAGTTTTGCGAAATGAGTGAACAAGGGAGCGACGTTGCGAGATGAGGTAGAAAAAAAGTGAGGTGAGTGGGATGGCAGCATTTCCTATACTACTTTCAGGGTCACTTCTGAAACCAAATCCTCCCAAAAAAACGCTAGCGGTTACATTATGGGCCCTCAACCGGCAATCATTACCCTCTTCAGTCTGCAGACTGCGTCACACTGTAGGCTATTGTACAAGCCATAAAGAATTCAACCAACCGAAAACACGTTTGATACACCCACCACGGCCAAGGAGACGGATTAACAGCTTTACTATACAAACCATAAACACCAAACACTGAATATATCTGCATTCCACAACAAACAAATCCCAAAACACTTGTTGCCAGAGTGACTTTAGCAACTTTAGATATTCCTTTGTTAGATTTCTCCATTCCTCTTCGAGAAGCACCTTCGCCAAGTTCGATAGACATGAGTTGCTTCTGTACTCTGTTATCATACCGAATTACTTTTAAGCCACTGTAGATAAAGCTTGTCGACAATACAAAGCCCCATAGGATGAAGAATGACTGGCATATAATCAGTAATGGTGTAAGCTTTGGTCTTAAGGCAGCTGACGTTTCTGCAGTTATGACGAGAGCAAAGTGGGCTGTTATGACACCACCTAAAAAGCGAACATCTTGGAGCCTTTTAGATCCAAGCTGGATCTTTACCACTTCAAGAAAAGCCAAGTGAATCAAACAGAAGGAAGATGTCAAACAGGGATAGGTTATGCCAAAAACCAGCATCGATATCCAGGGTGGGATTTCAATACCATTTTCTGCCGAGGAGTAAGGGTCAAGAAATAAAAACAAAGCTCTCGTTGTTCCTAAGGTAAAAAGCAAAGAGTTTATGGCTACAAAAAAGGGCTTTCGGCCAAATCCCTGTCTGGTTCGAACTTGCGCTAGAATCAGGAAAGAGCGTACTGCTAATATACTGAAGAGAGTCCCCAGTCCAGCCCAATGGAACTCCCAAGCGATTCCCCAAAGCTTTTTCGCTACGGGCCAATCGGGACCTGGCTCGGCGGCAGCTGGTTGAGTCGTGGATTGGGCCGAGCTTGTGGTTCCACTCAACGAAGGATTCGACATTGTCCACAATCGATACAAATTAGGGTAGATTAATAAATGTTTCACATTCGGGAAGTAGAAAATAAAGATTAATTTGCAAGCCTTTGACGATGGCGTCCTCTATCACCCTTTGATGATTGCTTTTCCCAATTTTAACTGCAAAATAATTATATACAGAAAGGCCCATATCAGTACAATTGTATAAACCCACTTCACTGCCAGAGGGAAGGGAATGGAGCCATGGGTAGCCTGCGTAGCAAGAGTTTCCGTTTGGTTTCGGAGCAAAAAAAGACCGTGGAAGGGGATTTTCGGTTTTGACCGCGCGAGAAATAAAACGAGAACCATGGGCTATTGACTCAGAGTCCATTCGGGCTCGAGGAATAATTGTTAATTATTATTATTATTATTATTATTATTATTATTATTATTATTATTATTATTATTATTATTATTATTATTATTATTATTATTATATGGCAGAACAAACGTCTGGATGCCCAGAGTAATTATTATTATTTTTATTATTATTATTATTATTATTATTATTGTTGTTGTTGTTGTTGTTGATGATGATGATGATACTTACTGGGTCTTATTATTGGTTTACTTGTCCTCCCATCATCCACTTCAAGTTTATTACAAAGAGGGACAAGTTTTATTACAAATTGCGATTTCGCAGATTATTCTATTACGAAGTGCGACAGGTATTTCAAAGTGTGCGACGATTATTACAAAGTGCGACAGAGCACTTTTTGCCCGCCAATCATGTCATGGTATAAATGAACAATGATGAAGCCATCAAGAAATTCCAACTCATTTTCTTTTTTTATCCGTTTTGTTGCTGTTTCTCGCTGAGCTGAATAAACGACCGGCACGAACGATCATTAACAGTTCCTCCTAGTTTATTTTTTTAAAAAATTTTTCCAAAAAAAACTTTGGAGAGGCAAGTCTATGGAAATAAACTAGTGAGCTCAGCTAGGGTCCGAACTACATGAAGAAAACGTCTAGTTAAGAAACAGGAAAACAAACGTTGGAAACAAAAAATATACATAACGTTTAACTGGTAAGATGCAGAGTTGATACTTTGATTAAAAACCTATTGTGTATTTGACGTCCACGCTGCCGTCTACGTTGTAGCTACGTTAAGTGGTTGCTTAAAAACCCTCTAGCACCTGACAAAAGCTCTGATTTGGTCATTAGATACTTCTTCTTCAAAGAATAATGAACCATTTTGCATTTTGGGACTGTTTGCCAAAACTCACAAAGCCCTTGTAAATACAAACCTTACCTTTCGAGCTGTAGAAAGCATCGAATCTCAGGCTGGAATTTAACGTAAGTTAAGTTTCAGTTTGTACACGGTCTGCAACGCCACTGCCGCACGTTAAGAAAAAATAGAGAAAAAGCACTACTGTACTAAGCTTTGAATTAAAATAATTGATAAAAATATCAGCTCTGAATAGATTAGAAAACATGTTTTTACAAAATTCCTTTACTTAAGCCGGAAAAAGACGACTTCATTATCTTATTTTAAGAAAAAATATCTATTTAGGGAGTATAAGGCTTGAAAATTTTTTTTCCATAAAGTGCATGCTTAGTCGATTAATACAAAGATCTATTAAGAACCATGATGAAGAATGATTTTAGGGGAGGTCAGCATTGTGTTAAGATTTTGCGGAGAATTGAAAGAGGCTTGAGACTCAAAACACCATTATTCAGCTATTACGGTGAAAGTGGAACCACGCTAAATTAAACGAAACTGCGAAAGGAAAAAATAATGAAAGATGCCATTTGGTTTTGTCAGCATCTTCTAATTATAGGCATAGATTCTTACGATAGGGGTATTATTTTTATAGGGACTTTGTAGAGACAGAGAGTAATGAAAAAGCATAAAATAGGCTTTTGGTTTAGAGGGAGGGTGATTTAAAAGGAGATCAGGTAAAATGGGACTTTTAAAACCCATTTTTAAAACAGATTATGAAGCGGTGTAACATAGATTTTTGTTAGCAGATAATCAAAATTTAACTAATTTTATGTGACTACTACAACTCATCATATCATTGTAAGCTTCGAGCTGTTAAAAATATTTTCTATTTTTTATTTTCTAAAAGTACTACAATTTAGTAAACGAAATGTGATGAGGTTGGGGTTGATTGCATTTACTTTATTCTTTGATGGCAAGTTGCATGTTTCAAAAAGTGGTTGGATGTCAGTCTTCTTTAGCGCAGAAAGCAAAATCTGCCTCCACCGCCCTACCCGCCCCCCCTCCCCCTTCCTCCCCTTCATTCACACCAAAGCTTAAACGTGTTTAAAAGCTGGTTAAAAAGATGTTCACTTTATAATAGCTACTGTTACAGTAATGATTTTTGTCAACTACAAATCTAGTACACTGAAATTTGATACAAATGAAAGCACAAGTCCAAATTGGAACTCGATTTAGTTTTCTTTTACTCAGTAAAATTCATTTTGTTAAACGTTGTAAAGCTAAAAATGTTTCGTGCTTGTGAATAGGGCTTTAGTCTCATAATTTCCCATTTTGAATAAAATAGCGAACTTAACAAGCATTCCAAAAAATCCTCGGAAAAACCGTGTATAGTGTTGAACAAAGACACGAAAAATGAGTGAGAGCGTCTTTTCTTAACATACAGTGATCGCTATAAATTCTTCATACCCTTTTTCTGCACATCAATTTTGTCTTTAATATTGTGCTTTCAGTGATGGATGCAATCTTTTAATAATGACACATATGGAGCATTTCATGAGTATCACTTATAAAAAAAAGGCGAGAAAGATTTACGACCCTTTCACGTATCCGCTAACGCTGTAAACAGGTGTTATAAATAGGATTAATTAATAATCGTCTTTGTTCAAACGTCTTTCTAAAAAAGTCTTTATTTATAATACTGAACAGAGAAGTGTACACTTAATACGCAGCCAAGGAACATGCAGACGTGATACAAAACAAACAAGGTATAAAAAAAACTGAACTAAAATTAACAAAGAGAAGAGAAGGGAAAAGATCAACCCGTGAAAAATCACAAAGCGTATCAGAAATGCAGACTTCAGGGAAGTCCACCCGTTTCTGGATTTCCGTTTTGATTGCAATTTTTCTTGTCATTGAATTTCCTTTTCCATGAGAAAGATGAAAACAAGTCTTCGCCGTCTCGCACTTGTTTTCAGCTTAGGTAGCAATAATATCATGCAATTAGAATGAAATGATTGATGCAAACAACTTTTCAAGGATAGTAAAGACAAACTGAACCCGGAAACACTGTGTAAAATTCCGGCATCCTAACCACAGGCCTTTTTCACATGTATTGAATTCCAAAAACAATGGTCCATATTTAGGCATGGAAACTGTTTCCTGACGTCTGTTGTAATGGATGGCATGGATCGGGAAGTGGATTGAAACTTGAAAAAGTTGGCCCAACATTTTCAAGTTGAGTCAATGTTTTGCGGCCTGAAAAAATCACCAAAAAAAATCAATGAATATCGTCCGGTGCTGCATGATTTTTTGTGATACTCTGCGGGAGTATTTCTTGAATGGGCAACGACATTAAGTAATGACTTCAGCACAAAATTGACTTAAAACAACAATATCTTTGTGACATAACCTCCTTGAGTCCACTGAAGTGTCAAAAACACAGGGACACCAGGAAAACGTATGATATAGCTTCCGTCTCACTCATCGTACGCCATAAGCATGACCGAGCTTTTTGCGTGCAGGCGAGAAAATTCCATTTTCCCGGGGGCAAATGCATGCTTGCTGTTATTAACCACATAATCAGGGGTGTGTACATATATTGGTTATGCGGCATGTAATAACTTCCTTAAACCCCGTATACGGCCGATTTTTCTCACTGGAAACTAGCTTGAGAAAAACCAAAATGAAATAAATATAAAAATAACAAATAATAAAAACAGAAAGGAACTTTAGAAATTAGAGCTTAAAAAAGTGTTTTCTCGACCGATCTGCAATTAAGTCGGACAGTCTCTGAACGCTTGCATGATTATTATGTCGTATGACAACTAAAATAATTAAACCGTACTTAAATTTTGAACATTCTTTCCTTTATAGATTTCCCTTGTTTAGCTCAGTTTGGAAAATTGACATTTCGTGCCACTTACAGCTCTTTTTCGATCGAAACTTCTTGAAAATGCTGTTCATTGCGCAACTTTTTAAGATTTCCGCATGCATGAGCCGGGGGTATGATTGCTTGACAATTTCGGGACTTTTGATGAAGTTGAGCTGGAGACAGTACACATGACTTGACACGTGAGGAGCAATATGTTGACTACAATCACAACTTTGGAGAAACTGCAGACCCAGAAATGTATCGGAGAGAAGATACTGTACTTGCTAAACATAAAGCACTGTATGCATTAATACTTTTATTAGGGTAAGGTTCTGACTGAACAACTTTAACCTAAAGATACCGGGTCAACGCGCACGTGGATAGCTCGATCATCATCTATATAACGCTCGTGGTTACTTTAAGAGGCCAATAAGCGATAAGTATGAACATTTTTACCTAATGGATTTCAGTGACGAAATGCAGTTTGCTATATATTACGTTTCACTACAAAGGGTAAACTGTTGATAGGACGAAGATGGTCAAAATTTAGAAGCAGGCATTACGTACGATCTTTCAAAAAAAGTCTCAAAAGGTTCCGGGGCGAATTGATTCGTCAGAGTTACGTTTACTGCTAAATATTCATTCAACTGATCATAAGAACACATACATGTTTAGCAAATAACCTGTTCAGTTTGTAATGACTCAGTGGAAAAGCTTGCGTTGCAGTTATAGTATACTTCCTTGTTCGCTTAGCTCCCAAGGTCAGGGCGAACCGTTAATTATAAGCTATTATATGCAGTACCTGCTATAAAACAGTTTAAATATCAAACTTCCAAGTCCGTAAATGAAGTTTAACATGTCTTCTTTCATATGAAAGTTACTGAGCCTATCTACCTTTGGTACTCCGAGTTTATAACATGTGGATATATGCAGTGGTCATTAAATACTAAGTGGTTACTGGTGAGTTTTTGTCTACCTTTGACAAAACAAAATTCTGCATTCTGTTTTTTTTGTGTGTGTGTGTAAGGCAGATTCAGTGTTCCAGCACTCTTGTGGAAGACGCAGTTTTGAACTGTCTCCGAAATACCTTTTTCACTGAGAATATTCTCACGAGCTGTAGACTTCCTTCTAGCGGAACTAGCGCCATTTCTATGTGAGGGCTGCATAACACAATAAACTATCGTGCAGGCCATAGCGATCTCAACCAAGCGAAAACAGGTTTGGAACGACCACCACAGCCAAGGTGGTGGAGGTCGTAAAGTATCGCGATAAAAATGATATACATCTATAAGTGAATATAACTGGATGATACTCCAAGCAAGACCTAGGCCGCTGGTAACAAGAGTTATTTTTGCCACTTTAGAGGCATTGGTTCCTAACTTCTTTTGAGATTTTTTAACACTTGACCTCTCTTGGTGCTTTTCTCTGAGCGTTGTCAGTTGTTTTTTAACGTTCCTTGCACGACAGATCACTTTGAGACCTCCAAAAATAAAGCTTGCAGAAAGGAGCAAGCCCCAGACAATGAAAAACAGCTGACAAACGATGAATGGCACCGCGAAATCGGGTTTGATGATCCCGGAGACTTCTGCAAACAGGACAATGGCGAAATGTACAGATACGACAATGACGAGAAAGCGCGCATTTTGAAGCTTCTTAGATACCACTTGAATTTTGGCAACTTCAAGGAAAACTAAGAAGATTAAATAAAACGCTGAGGATAAACAAGGAAACGATATGTTGTAAAGCAACTGGGCAACCCAACGAGGCATTTTTACTCCGTTCTGTCTTGATTCATACGGATCCACAAAGAGATATACGGCGCGTGTGATCCCCAAAACCAACAGGAGTGCATTTATTGCCACGGCAAGGGGTTTACGACCGACACGCCGGTGCTTGTTCGTTTGCACCAACGATACAACAGAGATGATGGCCAAGACACTAAATGCAACTCCCAGACCGATCCAGTGTATATGCCACGCTACTCCCCATAGTTCTTTTGCTTTGTTCCAGTCTGGTGTTGGCTCTGCGGCAGGGAAAATGTTTGTCGGTGATGTTGATGGTTGAGTCGTTGGACGAGTAGACTTGAAGTATTTTTCTGTTAGAATTCCTTCCATCCAAGTCTCTTTTAAACGCTTGTCCTCCAGTTTGCCTCTCGCGACAGATTTAAGTTGCAACGTTTTACAACAGCTCGGGGATCGTTTTGATCCGTCCCTGAAAACCTTCTGGCGTGATACGCTTGTTCGGTTAACGTTGCATCACAGATATTTTCTTCTAGATTTTCAATGTTCGCATAATTGTGTTTGAGTCATGTTCGCGTGATATTACACATTTCTTTTGTAATTTAATAAAGGGCTTTCAAAATACAAACACCAATAACGGCGGCGCTCGAGAGAGAGTGCAATATACTTGCATACACGAATGATGATTGTCTTCGATTGCGGTTTGTCTTAGCAACGTTAAGGCTTTTTGTTTACGACAACATGTAGAGAAAACTTTGATTAAAATTAAAATTCAATTAAAATAGAGGCTTGCAATCTTAACATCAAAATCTGAGTTGTTTCGTCAGTTCAAATTATCACTTGTATTGGTCTGAGAATACATGTACGCCATAAATAGTACCTAGACAGTTATTAATGACTTAATTTAAAAACAGACGAAACGGCCGCCGGGTCAGCAACCTGTTTAAGCTAGGGCGTACCCTCATGTAATTGGGAAAACCGCACAGTCATTTGCAACGAAGGAAGCGTTAAAAAATATTCCAGTTTGATTAGGAATAACTTGTTTATAATTACACTTACGCTATTTTTATGTTTGCCTTCGGCTACGGATGTGATTCAGTGGAGAAAAAGGATTGCAAATTGAAAAAGGACCGAAAAGATCTCTGATAAATAAAGTTCCACTAAAGTTTATCTCCAGGAGTTGTTCGTTTTTTATGGGAAAAGGTACTTGCTGACAAAATTTGCACACACGACGAGTGTAGTACGACTTTGTATAACGAAAGTAATGAATGATGTATGTAGCGAATTCCTATAAAGAAAATTTAGTCAACAAAGAAATATACGCTCAACTTAAGACCGTTTGCTGAGATCTATTATTTTATACAGTGTTGTCCAAGATTAGACCAAGCATTTTATTGAGAAAAAAGAAAAACATTTTAATTAAAAGGAGCTGGAAATTTTAATTATCTCAAATTCTCTCACATTATAAAAGAGCTTTAGAAGGTTTCTTTCAGAACCTTTCAGAACCTTGTCAATATATTAATTACATAGTTACGTAGTTTGAAATCATAAAAACAATACTTTTGCAGTTAAGTTTAAAATAACAAATGGCGTATGTTTGTTTTTGTTGTCAATTATCGTTATTTACTTTTCAGTTCTCTGGTCTCTTATCGCATAGCATACCAGAAAAGAACTGAGATAATGAATTGAAGACAGGCAGAGGATCTTACACTATAAATTTGAGTCCAGTATGTCTGACCTGTTCAAAACGAGAAAGGCAACAATGGTTGTGAGTTTATACTCCGTAATTCCCGTAATACATTAATTGTTAGAACTTGTTTTCTAGGAAAGCGTTGGTGATATAAGCTACACTAACTGAATATGTGCTGAATTAACGCTCTCCTTCATTAAGTAAATTGTTTTATCTTAAACCGTAGCTGGTTTGCCCCTTATTGGTCCTGTCTGTCATAGTTTCCGGTAAATCATTTCACGCATCATATGTAAAAATCATCGGAAAGAGCCTGGAGATGAGATAGAGATGGTTATTATGGCAGAGAGCGACCCACCTTCTTGTGGGTCGGAAGAAGCAGGGCTTTTATCTGGAGGTTCTGATCAAGTAGCCTTTAAAGAAGGCGGTCAAAGTAAAAAAATGAGTGAAATTTGACAGGCTATTTGCGTCTCGCTACTGCATGCGATGTTGTAGATGGTATAGACACACCGCGATGATATTTATCGCGTGTAGTTAGTGTCGCACATATACTGACGAGATTCTACAAATGCAAAATGGTTCAATAATTCCAGTGTTCCATACACGACGCCTTTTCATTGTGTCTAGGTCCTTATGAAGCAAGACATACAATTCTTGGTTTGCAACCACGTGACAAGTCGGCCAGGTTGGAGGTCATAACAGTAGAATTTTGTCTCGAAGAATTTACATGAAAACAGAGTTTAGTTCCCAGAGGAGAGAAATGCTTGTGTTCTTGATCACCAACATGGCCGCCCTGACGTCACGTGCAAACCAATACTGTAATAATCAAATGAAAGTTGCTGAGACTGAAATTTGTGGTGGTACTAGACGGTGGTTCCAAACTTTCAAACAATTGACGAAGACCTAATTTTAACTTTTTTTTAATCACTTAAAAAGCTACAACCAATTACTTGTATACTTCTAAGGAACTGTTAATAAAGCTGTACAAGATGATTCTTAGTAAAGTGCTAGAAATTCAATCCTCCTGGGTAACTACACATTGAAATAAAAGTTATTGAACAATGTTTTCTTCTGGCAATGTTTATAAACTGTACAAGTTTTTCCTAATCTGTCCGAAGTGTCGTCTAGTTTTCATATTTTTTAGGATTTTAAAGGATTTTTAAGTTGTTTCGTGATCTCAGCTTTGGGTAACTTGTAGTTAGAAGTTAAAACGGCACATTTTACAAAAAAAGTTTGATATCAAGTTAGCCTGCCGTTAAGGCACTGTTTTTGGCAATCGAGCGAGCGTTGTTTGTGTGAGCCATCACAACAATTACATTGAATTTGCAAAACACCTAACGTTTAGACAGGGGACAAGAGAAAGACCTAAGAACGAAGGGTCCATTTTTTCCCCAATTTTCTCTTTTCCTACGGCCTGCCGACCTCTTTTCACCCGCGCAAATCCTTCGTGATACAAACTCAGGCTGTCACTATTCCTCTCATTCACACTTTCACTACAGAAACAAATCCTGGAGAGAGAAAATATTCTAAATGCCTTGTAACACCGGTAGAGACATTAAGATAAAATGACCGAAATAAAACAAAATCGAAAGAAATACCCTAAGTGTTATTGTGAATGGAATATTAGAGTGCACAGAGTTGACGCGCCCAACAGTGTGGGTCTACGGTAGGCCATAAAACGCTCTTTATCTTCTGAAACAGTTCTACGCACACGGGCATCCTTAAGACCGCCAAAACATCATTTCCTGGCAAGTTGCTTCACCCTGCTCCAGGCAAGAATTGGTTGGAATCGCTTAGTTACTTTGGTATTGATCAACGTTTCCGTTTTTTGCTGCGTGGAGTATCGTGTTTGCTACTCGGCTTTTTCCTTTTCTTGGTCGGCGTTTCTTCTTGTCCTTTTTCGCGGTCGGCTGGTGAAAGAAAAACACATTTTGGTACGTGAGAATGATCAACTGGTTGGGTCGGTCTCCAGCCGAATCAACACTCAGACACTTAAAATTACTGAGGAGAGTTGTCGCCCTTTTTACATCTAAAACTTGCTAGACCATATAGTCTTCTCGGATAAGGAAGAAAAACTATAGGCTCCGCCTCAAAGCACTTTCACTTATCTTTTGTGGGAGGTTTATGTACTACTTGGGATGTAGCATTCTCTGGCTAATGACCACATACAAATTCTCCAAACTGGAGCCCATAGATTTTCATGAAAATATAGTAGAGAGAATTTGATAAAAGATCAGTGCATTTCCCCTTAAATGATGATTTTCTTAATTCCCATAACCTAACATATCGATCATGTATCGACATTGTAAGGAGGAAACTGATGTTGGTCACTGTTGAGACTTAATGGGTGAAGTAGGAGTTCAACCCTGTTGTGATGGCTTTATCACTCAGTGTTCTAAATCTAAATGGCAATTTTAGTAGAGAAAAACATCTTTAAGTGTCAATCATAACTATAACAAAATTCTCAAATTTGATGGCTATCAACTGTCCTGATTTCAGCACCAACAGAACAGTGTAGCTCGGGCGCGTAGTTGAATGTTTTTTTTTTCACTACTAGCAAAAAACGCTCGGAATATCTTGTCTTTTAATTTTAAAAATCTTGAAACATGACAAATTTTTTATATAGTTATGATTATTTGGTAACAGAACTTCGTGTGGTCCAATTCGGTCTGTACTGTCATACTCGTGAATAAACAAATCAGACTCCGATTTTGTTGATCACTGGTACGATTACAGATCGAATTGGACTCCATTCACTCCTGTTACCATTACAAATCGAAGTGTTTCCAGTTTACCTTTCGCAGCTTCCTCCTCTAATTCGGACCAGTCCTTCCCGCTCTCCTCTTCGCTGCCCATCTCTTCATCAAAGTCTACAAAGAAGAAAAATGGGAGGTATTGTATACCGTCCAATGGCAATATAATAGGTAGCATCTGTTAGTTATGCCTTAACTCTGCCCCTAATCATGTGCGCTAGTTTTGTTATTGGCTACATCACTGTTACCTCGCCTTAGACCTGATAACTCACCCTTTTTTTTTCCCACCCGCGGGCCGCATCAGGGGGGAACGGCCTCGGTCTTGCCTTCCCCTTGATGCGACTTTACTTGTTTCGGTACACAATAAAGATGATTTTGTTATACTATATATATACGTGTAGTTGTCGTTTTCTTTGTGCCTAGGATTATATACGTTGTTACTAAAGCAACAATATAATAAAAATGTCAATACTGAGCCAAGCCGCCTCCTTACCAGACCCTGATTCGCTTGTCTCTGTCTCTGAAGAGTACTCGCTTTGAGAAGATTCGTCTTCATCGTCGTCTTCTGAAGGAGCATAATCACTCTCTGGATCCCCTTCGCTGTCATCCTTCTCACTCCCCTGAAATAACATTGAAGTGAACGGAACTTTAGCAACGACAACGGCGACGAGAACATCAAAATAAGCAAAACAACAACTCTGCACGTGCATCAGACTTCTTTGTACATTTCTGACGTCACAGCACGCCTACGACGTGCAACTCCCTCATGCGACGTTTTACGGAGAACGTAAAAACAAGTTGAAGAATTTTCGTTTCTCCTCTCAAACATGGTGTAGGACCCCAAGAATTCAATTCTGGGACAATTCATTTACATTTGATCATGACATTTTTAACGAGTCGCAATAGTCTCGACAAAGTTTAAAAGCATCTTAAGTAGTCGTAGCTAAAGCTCCCTAATGTATAGGGGTGGGAGAGGTGGATGGGTGATGGTCGCAACACAGTAACACCACCACCACCACCACTACCACCACCACTACTACCACCATCAACAACAACAGAAACAGCAAAAGCTGTAGCAATGAAGCCTTAAAAGATTGAAAAGGTGACGTTTCGAGCTTTAAAATCTTCGTAAGAACGCCGAAACAAGGGATTGTGGGTTGAACGAACGTGGTTGATTTGCTCCAAATTTTTGTGTTTCATCTGGACATAGGCTTATGTTCTTGTTTTGTGGGGGAGGGGTCGTGGTGGCGAAGGGGGGGGGGGGCTTGGGCGGGTTAGAACTTTTTCTTGGCAAGGGGGTTTTTTTGCTCCAAATTTTTGTGTTTCATCTGGAGATAGGCTTTTGGTCTTGTTTGGGGGGGGGGGGGTCGTGGGGGGGAAGGGGGGGGGGGGGCTTGGGCAGATTAGAACTTTTTCATGGCAAGCGGTCTTGGTAGTATAATTAACTCACACTACTTTCAGGATCAAGGAAACTCCATCCGCCATTGTCAATAAAAGCTTCAGGGTCATCGTTGATCGTTTTCATGATCTTGGACCAGTTCAAGCTCTGAATACCTTCTGTGTATTTAATGTCACATGAGCTGCGAAAAGGTAAAAAAGCAGGTAATAACAGTTATTTTACTTCCGTAGCTCGAAATACTCATCCTTTAACAAACAGGTGGCTCTCATAACCGCCTCTCTCTAGCAGTGCTCCGTTTTACGGATGTTTTAAGCTACGTAAAGCTACACGAAAAGGAAAGAACTCGAAACAAGGATTTGAGGTCACACCTAGGAATCGAACTCGGGACGTCCCGCTTAGGTGGACGCGTACTCAGGCCAACTGTGCCAATCCTTGCTTCTCAACATAACTAAGGGACTGCGCGACATCGCAACAGTTTTTAAGTTATCCTTTGAAAGTATAGCCCGAGAAAACAGCCGACATTTCGTAACACCATCACTGGTTTCCCCGCGAAATGACGTCTGAGAAACACGCGTAGAAATTCCATACTGATGACGCGTCACTACTCACATCCGTGGGTAGTGCTTCTGATTGGATGAACCGGCAAATTTTCAACCAACCAGAAGCACTGCTCAGATCGGGTTACTAAGGCGTCTTCAGTATGGAATTTCTGCGATCGTTTCTCAGACGTCATTTCGCGGGTATGGTGTCAGCTATTTTCTCAAGCTATCTGAACATCTTTAGCAAAATAACTTTACAAATTACTGTATTGCAACGTGTTCGTCCGCAAAGCAAAAGACTTACTTTAACCAGTCTTTGACAGAATCCAGTGACGTCATAGGTATGGCATTCACATGCTCAACTTTTCGTTTGTAGTCTTTGAATACAAACACCATGTCAAAGTTCTTCAGATGGAACTAAATGCACAGGAAAGGAACAGGTTTCAGTCATAGAAAGTCAGTGTTTTTTTCTAAATCCTTCGGTAACATGGGTACCCAGTTAACAACAGTAATAATAACGTGTCTTTATTGTTCATCAGATAAAAATACATATCCAATGTCACAGGAAAAACGATTAAAAAGTTACGATGAATACAATAGAACAAATAAGTGTAAAAAGATTTAAAAATGTTAAAAAAAATACATATCTATATACACAAGATCATCATAAAAGGTCGTGTTTAAAAACTAATCTATTTAGCTATATCCTCAATAGCTCCCAAAGTTACTTTGTAGACAACACCACACGATTCTGATTTTTCCGCCCTTTTTTGGCGCTTAGGTTTACCGCTTTCCATGTGGAAAAGGCTGTTTTTTAATTGAAAAATGGCGTAAGTTTTTTTACTTCAATATTTTGGACTCTAAGTTAGCAGCATACGCGATGCTTTGTACCTAAAATTAACAAAGAAATACAAATGGACACGTTCATTTCCGCCAAACTCAACAAGAGAATCAACGCTCGGAGCGGGTAACCTAGCCTGCCATCAAGCTTTTCGTGGCGCTTTTGGGCGAAAAAGGAAGCCGCGAGAGCGCCCCGGAGAGTTTGCTCGCAGGCTGTGGGTAACTTAAAGAAGTGTGCAAGTCACAAGTGTGATGGTCTTACGTCCGATTGGCTTGCAGTGATGATGAGCAGTAATGCGTTACCCTGCAAATTTCTTCTCACAATGATTTGAAACTATAATCTTTTTTGGTATTTTCGCGGCACCAGTTCGCGGGTGCGCCACGACTGAGAATATTGCGCTATATTTTAGTAAGCACCATACCTGAACACGCTCGAAGTGAACAAGTTCTACTTCGTCCAAAGTAATGATGAATGTTGGCTGTTAAGAGAAAAAGGACTAGTATTAAACACTCTGAAAAGGAGTGCCATTTTAACTCAACCATCGGGGAGAAAACCAACTATGTTCATTTTATATGTTCGCATTATGTAAGCTCGGTAGGTCTTATTTAGGCAATTTATTTAGTCCAACAAAGTTCAAACTGTTATGATAGATAAATAAATTTGGTCAGTTTTAAGTGCTGCTAGTGCCTGTGGTCGAACAAGATCCACGCAGATCAAATACAAAACACCATCATTTTAAAGCTGAAGATTTACAAAGCATTTTTTAAAAGAAAATCGAAAGTCAACATAATCTATGGCCGACAACTTTTCTGGTACGTAAGGCTTAAATAATGATTACCCGGACATTTTTTCTTGTTAAAACACAAATTTTCAGCCCTGTGACCATTACAGCACTGATGCAGCTCAAACAAAAAGATTTATGTCGCACTAGCCTCCCTCGCAGACATTCATAGGACTTCGTCACGCAATCTTCCCCCACGTTCGTAGGGGAGGATTGCGTGACGAGCCAAAAGAGTGTCTGAGCGGGAGCCAGCTAATTTCGTACCTGCTCAGTGATGTTCACTAAACAGTGTGTTGTCGGTTGTAGCAAAACTGTGCTTCGAGAGGGTACTCCCATGAACCTAGCCAAATAAACATCAATAAAGTTAGACATGATGCACAAAGATGTTGTCTTTCGCACAGCTGAAAAAAATGCACTAAAAATTCCTGAATCCGACGACCTCTTGTCGAGAACTTCTCCGCAACATTTTCAGGTCTCTCTCCCCACCACCACCCCGCCGTGTTTGCCCACCGAAAAATGCGTTTACTTAACAACAAATCGTAAAAGTTAACTGCAGCTGACTGACTTCTCTTTTACAACGTCAACATCGTCGGTTCTAGTAACCCTTGCCTCAGAAAATAGCTGATATTTCGTGAAGCGACCACTGGATTCCCCGCAAAATGACCTCTGAGAAACGAGCGCAGAAATTCCATACTGATGACGTGTTACTACTCAGATCTGGGAATTCACGCGGCACGACCAATCAGAAGCACTACCCAGATCTGAGTAGTGACGCGTCATCAGTATGGAATTTCAACGCTCGTTTCTCAGACGTCATTTCGCGGGGAAGCAAGAGGTGGCGTCGCAAAATGTCTGCTGTTTTCTCAGGCTATACTAACCCAAGGTCTCTAAACGGAACATCAAACTCGACTTGTCCGTGAGTAATTCCTTCGACTTTGTCAATGAAACTCTTGAACACGGCCTTTAACCTTTGTCGCAACTCTCGCTCAGCCTAAATCAGAAAACAATTTACAGAAACGTTAGTCCACTGTTTTTGATGTCAACTTTTCTAACGCATACATACACTGTTTAAAGGTAGCTATTACGACACCTGAAGGAGGATCGCGATGCTATCCCTGTATTATTAAGATCGCTCCTTACAGATAACCCACCGAGCCCAGGAAAGGTTGGCACATCGCCGAGGTCTACGTCCCCTACTCTTTTCGAACAGTGGGTTCTTCCCACAAGAATCAGAACAGTGAAAGGGCTGTGAGATGGGCCTACGGTTTATCGTCAAGAAAGTCTAACCGTATGCATATGTCATTACAAATGCAGTGGTTTCTTCTCAATTACTTAAAGACCTTAAGTGTTGGTCCGGCTCAGGTTTGGACCCGCGACCTTCAGCTCAGAAGACCCGCACTCTCTCAACTAAGCTAACTAGGCGGCGCTATATTAGAAATGATAACAGACCTGTTCAGCCTGAAGATCGTCTCTGTCGTGCATGTGTTGATGTTTTCCTAAATCTGTCGTGATTTCGCCAACCTACCAAAGAAATAACATACATAATATAGGGGCAAATTCACAGTTCATGAATTGGAAGAAATTTCAAAATCAACAGCAATTATCTTCAATACAATTAACAGCACTCACTTCTGTATAAAACTGTATATCTCTGTATTTCTTTTTCCCAATGATAATAGGATGCTGACGACAAACAAAACAAAGTAAAAATCTTTGACAGTAAAATACAAAACGGCTTTAAGAACGTAAATTTAATAACAAGGAACGCATGGAACTCAATTTAATACGATTAGCCAGTGTGGATACAATTGTAGCTGGAATTAAGGGCAATTATGATATAGTTCTAGACCCTATCTGGAATGAAATAGGACAAGCCATGCAATTGATAGCCTCAGAAAACAACCGACATTTCGCGACGACACCTCTGGTTCCCCCGCGAAATGACGTCTGAGAAACGAGAGTAAAAATTCCATACTGATGACGTGTCACTGCCCAGATCTGGGTAGTGAGTGGAATTGTGGCGTCGCAAAAAGTCGGCTGTTTTCTTACACTATCCAATCGTACACGTATTTTAAACTTTATGTAAAGAATAACTTAACCAATCGAAGCTTGGGTAAAAGGGCAGATTAAGGTAAAATTGTTCTGAGACGGGGTATTGTCCAACTGGAGTATGCATACCTCGGTTTTTAGGGTAAAAAGTTAAACATAAATGCAGAAACTCTGACAAACCTTTAGGTGGAAGTGAAGCAAAATAATCATTTCTCCATCACAGGGCTGGATGGCAAAAAAGGAAAGAAAACAAAAAGGTTACTAAAATGCCTTTACAGTTAAGTCCAGTCCAAACGTCGAACTTCAACCTAAAATAATCCTTCACTTATGATAATGAGCAAAATCTATTGTTCTCAATCATTAGCTGAGGAGTAGGTTCGGTTTATGTGAACATTGACGTTTGACCCGCGCTTTCAAAGCACCTGCCAACTCATATTATCAATAAATCAATAACTAGACAAAGAGAGGTTACTAATTTTACCTGAAAGAAAGCATGCTTTACATTTCCGTACAAAATGTCCACATGCTCCCCACGATACATACCAAACCTAAAACCTACAGGGAGACCAAAGTGAGCGTGTAACATAACATACAAAACAACAAAAATAGATGTCATTGCATGACTGCAAATTAAAGACCAATGCGACGAGAAGACAAAACGAAACCGAATCACGGTAAAATGAAAAATGGGATAAGGACTGACATAAAAACTACAACTTGCAAAATTATAGCTGAGATGATGATTTCACTAACACAAGCACAGGATAGTCCTTTTAATAACAACAACAACGCGTGATTGAAAGCTTTGTCCTGAGCTAAATCTAAATAATAAACCTAAACATATAAAGACACTTCCTTACCGTTAGTGTGAGCTTCCAGAGTGCCCTAGAATGAACAAAAACCGATCTTAAGAAACCATATCTTTGGACCAGATATTTTGTGTCAGGTAAACTAATCTAAACGATTGACACGCTTACAAAAAAAGCCGCTGATTATTTTTTTGGCGCTTGCAAGTCAGGCAGAAAGACGGGTGCTAGATTTCAAATAATCAAGCAACAGTTTCATCTCCCGTTTTAACTCTGTTATTCACTTTATTAATATTTTCAAGGAGAGGGAACTAACGAAAATAAATACAAACTCACCGGATATCGTCTCTGGGTGATGCTGGGTCTAATGTACAAATCTTTCAACTTGGGATTTCCTTTGTTGGGATTTAAAATGAGGTTGCCTTGCTGAACCACCCCCTAAAATAGAAAACAAAAACACGATCAACCAATCAGCTACCCAACATGAATATGCGATTTGAAGGGTAGAAACAATCGGTCATTCGCCTTTTAACTGACAAAGTAGAAGTGTGCATCTTTTCCAACTCGTCACAGTTGAAATAAAAAGGTTAAGTGTAGGTTGGTAAGTCAGGAAAAAAAAAACATTATTAGAGTTAGTTTAGGTGATTTAGCAAAGAAAACTGACAACGTGGGAACATCTCCTCTTGTACGTTGGAAATTAAGTTAGAGGGCTGTACATGTACATATATTAAACTTATTGGCAACAAAGTCTATACAACTTCCACGATTGAAATTTCCGTCTAATAAAAGTCTTCTGATAACGCAAAATAATGTCTCTTGGTCTAGTGTTATGACTTAACTTTCGACATCGTTCATCAATTATTGTTTCTTGACAAATGGCCAGCGATCTTGTTGCTCAACAAGTTGCAACATGTTTAACAGAAAACAGCCCACTTCTTATGTCGGTGAACAACAATCAACAAAGTTCAATACTTGATGCTGATTAACGTGCGTTCAAATGTGTGCCGCTGGCTTCGGTGTTAGTTTTACATACCGCCAAGATAGCGCCGGGCCTACACGTCACTCACTGACCTGTCTTTCTTTTTCCTCAGCCTCTCTTGTTTTGAATTTCTTTTGTACTTCCTTTATCAGACGAAATGCCGTGGTAAGGTTAAGAGCTGGAGGATGTAACGATCCCGCCGATTTAGAGTTTGAACTTCGATATGTACTGTAACAGAAATAATCAATTAAAACAAAGAAAAGAGCGTCAGATTAAAAAAGGAACAATCATTTAATACAAATAAATTAATACTAATAATTCTAATAACAACAAAATTCTGTCATGTTTTTCAAACAACTTTGTCGAAAATCCTCAACAAATGAGACTTGTCTACCATGGTAGAAAGTTTTCCTAACACTTCATGTACATGTCACTAGCTATGCACTTAATATTGGGTGAACATGTCCCCGCCGGCTTTCACACAGGACGCACGTTTATTTATTTTTTTTTTGTTTTCCTGCACAAAAATATGGTCTCTGCTTATTCAACCAGGTGACGACGAAAATACTTTCAAATGAGCAGATAATTTCAACACAAAACACTCACACTTCCTTCACAAATGTAGCTTCAGGCTGCGCAAAAAGGCTTCCTTCTGATCGACCTACAGAGCTAAACAAACCACAAACAAACGCTTTTTAATTGAGGGACGAAAGGAATCTCACGAATGCTTTGTTTCTTTTTTTCCATTGTACACTTTGCCCAACTTGCTTGACAGATCAAGGGAAAAACCAGGACCAGTCGTGAATCCATGACTTGCTGAGGGCAACGTTCCCAGACGCTTGACACAGGCTAACAACGTTACTTCGAGTTCTGATTGGTTCAGGGGAATGCGCGGACATTTGTAGTGATTGGCCAGACTATGTTCTCCGCCTTTGGTTTCTTGAAACACCACTGAAAAATTGGCTTTGAAGAAAACAACTACTGCGGTTACTTAGAGTGGATGGGAGATGCATGCAGGTTTACAGTTTTGACGCTTAAAGGTCTTGTTGGAGATTTTTCGCTATAATGGCCCCTTTCTCACTTACCTTCCCGGGCAAAACAAGTTAATTCGAAGGTAAGTATATCCGCCTTCATCGCTGGAGCTGATGTTCTGGAACACAGAAGCACAAATAAAATAAATATAAATAGCTTTTCACAACCCTGTACATCGTTTTATTTAAAATTTCATTCCTTCCCTATTTGTATTGACAGTATTTCACTTCACGCCAATGGTTACGCTGAGTAAACTGTACTTATGACCGAGGTAGGATTAGCTCAGTCGGTAGAGCGCTTGATTGCAGAGCGGGAGGTCGCGGGTTCGATTCCTGGGGCCGGACCAATTTTCACTGTCTGGCTCAGATGACCACGTAAAATGGCGGTCCCGTCTCCAGTGGGTGACGTTAAAATAATGTCCCCAATTGGTACTTTCGTGTTAAATACATTGGAAGTAAAGTGCATTTTTTGGGCTGACTGCAGAAGCCTGTCAATACAGCTGCCTCTCATCGCTCCCCGTCGTTTGGACGTTTGTCCCCAGCATGATAGGTGGCCGTATTCACAGGCTAAATTGCAGCAGCAATTCTTAAATCAAAAAGTACTTGTTCACTTAAGACTGCAGTCGACAATCAGTTCGCCGGTAAATGGTCGCAAAATTATGCCTAGCAAACCTTATTCGTGTTTACTTAAATCAAGTCTATCACGCATGGACGAGAACATTAAACTACTGCAACCTTCGAGAAAAAAATTCACAAAAGTTCCAAAAAATAAAGACATGCAATTTCTGACTTCCAGATTCCGCTGGCTCTCTGGGACGTTTAAGATTCTAACGTTCTCTTTGTCAGAGAGTACCACCAGTCTTTTGCAGAACAGATTTGGAAATCTTCGGCATCTTTGGATTTTGGACATCTAAGAAAATCCTTGCTCTCCAAGGTTACAAATTTAACGTCCGAGACTCAGACAAGTTGGCAAGTACCGTAAACTGCCGCTTATAAGCTCTGGGATTATACATCTTTGTAACGGGGTTTAGGAGGGGTTACAAACGAAAGGGCTTATAATCGGAGAGGCTTATAACCGGAATAGAAAAGGCGCTTCAAAACAAGCTATGGCAATGATGATCAAAACTGGCTTATAATTGGATGTATTTTTCTGTTTTCAAGTAAATGGGCCTTTAACTAGGGGGGGGGGGGGGGGGGGGAAAAGGGGGGGGGGGGGGGGGGGGGGTTACAAGCTGCAGTTTACGGTTTGGTTTATGGTCATCTCGCCACCAAACCATCTCGCAACCAGAGAAGTCGACTCGCCACCAACGAATGACTCGCAAATAATTGACATAGTTTAATGCCTTCGATTACTTACCTAAGATTTACTTTTTCGTCACGCTTATTTGCAGTCGATTCAGATACAAATCTTTCGATCCTAACTGACTTTCTTTGCGTTGAACTTTTTATGCTTTTTTAAAATACTCCAAATACTGGGTAAAGCTAAGTTTTATCCTTGGTGGCGAGATGGTTTGCAGTTGGTGGCGAGGTGACCAGATACCTTAGATTTATATTCACGTGGGACCCTCACCTTGATGGTAGATATATGAAACGGTGCAGCGACTCCAAAAAAGGGCAAAATTACAGCCTCATACTTTTTATCTGGTTGAAAGAAAAAATAGAGAACAAAACAATTACATGTAATGGAAAAATATCGAGTGTCAGGAGCGTGTACGTTGGACACCAATAATTGCTTACCCACAAATATTTTGTGATCTCTCACTTCATTTTCTCTGGGGACCAATGAGGCGTGTTTGTAAGCAACATTCGATGGCTTTACTCTGAAAACAAGATAAGATATAAATTACAATAAACAACAACAACAAAAAAAACACCCTTAAAGAAAGCAACAGTACAATGTCCGTGTAGTTCTTCTTTGTAAGTAGATTTTTTAAGGACACATGAGTTATAAAATAAACAAACAAACATAAAAAAACAAACTTGATCATAGATGTTAACTGGCAATGAAAATAAACTGTTTATCTACAACGTTGATCGACTGATTGTGACAAAAAAGACACTTATGATTAAGATTTTAAAAGTAGTGGTAATGATAACAGCGTGGTTAGGGATGATGATCATGCTGATGATAATAATGATAAAGATGATAATGATGAGTAGGACGACAATGAAGATAATGACAGTATGGTTGAAATGATGATGACGACTATAACAATGATGATAATGATGATGATGATGATGATGATGATGGTGATGACTGAAGGTGTCAAAAAACAAATGTAATGCATCCAGTCAAACTCACTTAGCAAGTGTGTTGGTATCACCTTTTGACTCCAGAAGACGCCTCTATTGAAACAAATTAAATAGAAAACAGAGATGAGCTGGCCTTTACTGAATGCAAATAAAATTAGAGTTCTTTAAACATAGCCAAAGAAGTTCAGTGTTGTAGTAGACTCTGTTTAAAGAACTCTCTAATTTTATTGGATCTAATTCTAGCTAAATGAATTTCTTCAAGAGGTTCCTGAATCCAGGTGTCAATTATAACAGACAAGAATACACTATTAATATTTCTTTAGGGGCCATGTACTAGTAATGACCTTAAAAGATACAAGGAAAACTTGATTAAATGGCCCACAACATTATTTTCTTTTCATTGTGAAACAATTCCAGAAATAATCCTGGTGTCGCTTCGCCCAGTCACGGATCCATACACCAGTTTCCACTGTTTTACGGAAATCGGTCCGATTTTTTATAAAAAGTATAATTTATGTTTTCTGGAAAATGCTTTGGAAATTTTTTTTCTAATTTCCGGAATTTTCCAGCATTAGAAATAATAATAATAATAATCGCTAAATTGTAGGGCTTCATCCGGAGAATGGAACAGGTCAATATCCTGTCTAAATGACTCGGAAACCCAAGTAACGGGACTTTAAGGAGTTGAAATCCAAAATAAAAACTCCCACGGAGCATGCCCCCGGACCGCCCCACCCCCCCCACTCCCCTGGAAACTTACACCTTTGGCACTCGTTTAGGAAATCAATCAGTATTTATCCTAGATCCGCGCCTGTTGTCTGTCAGTGAAGTAAACCATCACACAAACCTTTGCTTCTTCATGTAGCTGCTCTTTTAATTCCAGTTGATGCTTCTTTCTTCTTTCCTCTGCAGTCATTTCTGTCTGTTTTAGATAAATAGTATGATCACTTCAAAAGTACTATATCGACAAGAAGAAAAATCGTAACATTGAATCTATCACAGGTTTGACTTGCACTGTTAACTTTATTTCATATTTTATTTCGTAAGAGTTTATATTCAACCTTTCACTCCCAGCGTGTATTTTTGAGATACATTATATGTCATGTTGAACTCTGACAACAGAATCTCTCAATGCGACCATTATACCTTTAAGGTGATTCTACTGCATGGTACAGTTTGTTCCTTGGTATTTTGCAAATCAAAAATTGTATATTAATACATGATGTTTTTGTGTTAGCACTACTGAGAGTGAAAAGTTTAAATTTTATGCAGAGTTTAACTTAGTATATTGTAGAAATTATTTATTTCAATTTTTATTAGATTAGAATGTGCTTAATCAGAAAGTAAAATTGAATGCAAAACAACATTTCACTACAGTTGACTTCATTTATTTTACTCTACTGTGAAGGTTACCAATGTATGTTTTAATTAACAGGTGCAAAGATTTAATTTATTGTTACAAATCTTTTCTTTTCTTAAATATAACAGTGCTGTGTTTCATGTATGTCAACGTCTGGCATGTCTGGTCTGAATTTTAACTTGATTTTACCTAAGAAGAACAACTTCAAAAATTTTCTTTTTAATAATTATAAATCTTATTTTAAAAAATTCATTGTAAATGGCTTACGGACGATCCAGACGTTTTCAGCTCAGAATACTGCAGAAAAAATTCAGGAAATTAAAGTTTTAAAGAAAGCAAACTGCACGGTCAAACCTGCATTAAGTACTCCCTAAAAGTGAGGAGAAAGTAATCTCTCCTCATAATATCACAGGTTATTAAAATAATCAGGTGCAAAGATTACAGCAAAGATTATATTAAAGGTGACTATAAACAGTGGTACTGTATGTAACTGATGTCTTGATTATGAAAAAAATCTCCTCAGTAGTATTACAAGAAATGCATAGAGAACAGTTTGGAGAAAATGCCTGATACAGTTATATTACAGCCTATCTAAAGAGTGAGGAAGAAAACCTGTTAAGGAGCAATCTATTAAACCCTATTTCCTTCTTTTTTCAACATTTACAAATCACTTACTCTTGTTCTACTTTCAAGTAAGGCGCCTTTTCCTTCTCGACCCAAAAGATAATCTTCCTCAGCCTGAAAAAAGAAAAAAAACCTGACCCTGACCACTATGTCACTAATCCTCCACATACTTTCCCCTAGCTGTGCCGACCAGTAAATGCCACAGTAATGAACCAAGTTTATAAAGTGCCCAAAGCATGTAGTTATTTTTAGACACCATACCTCGCCATTCTCTTGCTGGTTTTCCCCTTCATCTTCTTCATCCTATGCAAAATCGAGAAAAATTAATGAAGATAACATCAGCCCCACCTTCATGCAAAAACAAACAAACAAACAAAACAAATTGCCAAGTTTTCTTTATTTTGTCATGGTTGTCATTAAGAGCCGGGGGCCGGGGATTTTCCCCGGCTACTAAGAGGGTGGCCCCCGGCTAATTTAATTGGAAAATAGAAGAAAAATAGAACCAAAAGAAATCCCTAGCCGTTTGATTCCCTGCCAACTTGTTGTATTTACCCGGCAACTTGAAATCTTAGTGACAACCCTGTTTGTACTTATTGTGTTTTAAATAGCTTGTGAGAGGGCTGTACATCCATGAGGATAATATTAATACTATTGCAAAGCAAAAAAAAGACAAGCAAACCTTGAGAAAGATACCAATGTTTGCAATTTTCTTTTTAGCTGCAGTAAGCAGAGAAGCAGGAGCATCCTGGGAAGAAATAAAGTTGACAACAGATAAATGTCTGCTTCAGGCAAATTCTGAAAATGGGGCACAAACTTTCAGGATCTGGAGGGAATTAATTATGCCCCATTAAAGCCGTGAACCAAGCTCTTCAATACAAAAAATTTACATTTAAAACTTAATTATCCACTATGACTGATTACAAAGAAGTTGACAGTATGCCAAAGAATCTTACCTCATTGACTACAACAGTATCCCCAATAAACAAAGCATAGTTTTTGCCTTCACTATTGTCAGCACTCTCATTAACCAGCCCTGAAAACCCTGCATTTACATTGAAAACCATACCTATTGACAAAAAGTAGATCATTTGATCAGTTTACAACAGCAAACTGTAGTTTTGACAGTCCCCTTCTTTCAAAATTAAGTTGTACAGCCTTGGTCTTGTAGGATGGTGGACAGCCCATTTTGAGCAAGTCTCCAACACAGCCAGCCTCTTTTGAGACTTCTGGATCTAAAATGTTTGTAAATTTGTACATAAATATGTGTGGAGGAGTGTGCGGTCCAGAGGTTAACACCTCAAATTCAGTGGTAGAGTATGTAATCTGGAACTCGAAAGGTGTGAGTTTGAATCTCATCTAGAGCTACTATTTTGTTCTGAGCTTTCTGATGCTTGATTTCCCTTTCTTTCAAAATTACAAAAAAATATGCCATTAACACATTTACTTAAAGATCTCTCTCAAACCACCCTTCAGCCTCCAGTGAATTCTCTTCAGTAAGATATTGCCCTTCCACAGACATTTCTGGTTCAACCTTTAAGAGTGTAAAAACTGTTTTGGAAACCAAGTGTATCTTAGGTCTACCTCAAACTGTCTGGGAGGAGGCCTCTGTTGATCAAACTGAGTTCTCAAACACTGATCAAGAGTGGATGAAGGTCGGGCTCACAAACCTAACCAACAGTTTATTGCTCAGTCAATTATAACAATGATTACTACCAAATGAATGAATCTCAAAAAAGAAACATACAAAGTAGGTAAAAATCTACCAACATTATTACAGCTCACTGATTATTATTATTATTATTATTATTATTATCATTAATTATTTATTTTATTATTCCATTCCCAGTTACTTGGCAGACCTCCTCATTTGAGTAAATCTTGACTATATTCTTACCTTTCTTTGCTACATGGGTATTTTTTGAACTTATTAGCAAAGAGCCTTCTCTGAATTCAATTCCCATTCCAAACCTGAAAAGGAAAAACACACACTTAAGTTAAATAATTATTGTGCAAGGAAAAAGTGTACAATTCCAGGTACATGTATAACAAAATTAATGTCACTCAATAATTGTTGCCATTCAGGCAAGCTGTAGCTAGCATGTACTAGCCACAAGTCATTTCAAGTAGCCCCCAAACCCTTTTTGATTAGCAGGACTGATTACAATCCTTCTGTAATTTGAATTTCCCCAAAAAACAGCACTTGCCTGTCGGGCAAGTTAAGAACAAAAATCACTAGCCCAATGGCAAAATCCACTAGCCCAGGGCTATTGGACACAACTTTCTTTGCAGGCTGCTTGAGTGTATTAAACCTCAGCATAGCCTTGCATGAAAACTTAAAAGGTAATTTAAGGAATGACACAAACTGTTCCTACCCAACATTTTTCACGAAACTGTTTTGCAGGTCAGCCTTCTGTTTACCAACATGTTCAAGTGCTGCATTGTAAACATCACAAAGCTTTACTCCTGAAAAATAAGCAGATTCTCTGATGTCACACTTCTCAGACTAAACGAAGAAATCTTAGTGGCAGCATGAAAGTGCACAAATGCTACTTAGAAATTGCATGCAACTAGATGCATATAACTGTTTAAGAACTGACCTGCCTTGATTAGCCTTTGCTAACTGTGGGTCAAATCATTTACTGCACTATTGTTATACAAGTCTAAGTCTCCATATAAAAAAGTTCAAATGAGAAAACTTCACCTAAGAAATCAAAGTCTTCAAAGGCAAAGGTTATCGAGATAACAACAGTCTAATATTGAAAAACATCTGAAAAAGGTGGCTGCATGACCATTACGTATTAGATTGCAGTAATTGTAAAGTAGAGGTCATAAAAACAAAGGAAGATAAAAATCAATGACAATTCAAAGCAAAGAGCAAGAATGTAGTTACACAAAAACAAAAACTAATGGAAGTACCCAATTCATCTTCTGCAAAGCAACTAAGCTTAAAAATGGAGACATTCCTAATATCTTTAACAAGACTCTTGAGTTGGTCAAAAACACTTTGTTCAAATTTAGTTGGTAGCTCACTACTTAGAGAAGGCTTCTTGATAAGGTTCAGCGGAAGAGTTTATTAAAATAAAATTAGTAAAATTGTCTCGAAAAGTCAGTTACTGATCGAACTGTAGGTCTGGAGATAAATTACAGCATGTGGTATAAAGATTTTGTGTATAAGAAATGACGGAATTCACTCTTGTGATCGCTGAGTTTTATACAATCAATGCAGATGGCTTTGCTCACCAACTGGCCATGTGCTTTGGTTCAGTTCGCTGGCCAATTTTGCACGTACTCTTATATCTTGCTCTCACACTGTGTGCGCCAGAGGAAGATTTGTGTCAGAAGGAAAAACCAAGCCCATTTTAATGCCCTGCTGTTCCCACTGAAATGCCCAAGCAATATATTATCTTCCAAAAGGTAGAGTGAACAGACCCTTCCTGAAAGACATATGCTGTGGTCGATTCTAATAAGCCACGACCTCCTGGAAGCAACCACTATATCTTGGCATTTTGGGAGGTTGCTTACAGGAGGTTCAACTGTGTCCTACAAAATATCATTCAACAGATGATTAGTGTAAAGTTCAAAAAACTATTACAACTTACCATGTCTTAACTTATCCAAAATTACATCCAGTGTTGCTAACAGCAAATTATAGTTGTCTTGTTGTTCCTAAAAGTTACAAAGAAATAATAATTCTCAATGCCCAACCAAAAACTTGACTTTCCAAATGTGTACTGTTGCTTTACATGAAGAAAAAATCAGTTACAGTTGTTGAGACACTAACCTCTGTTGGCTCATACAACATTGTCCGAACAATGTTTGAACAGTAGAACTTGTACCGCACACCAAGGGAACAGATTATTGTACCATAATGAAGCTTCTCATCGTTACTAGATACAAAAACAAAAAAATTATCAAACGACATTATCGCATTAAAATTAATGTTGGCAAAAAATAATGAAATTGTTGTTGTTTCACATTTTTCGTTTTCACATTCACTACTTTACTTTGGCATTTGTGATAGTCATCAACTATATTTTTTTTACAGAGAGAGCAACTCTAATGCACTGTTTTCAGATATACATATACTGGTAATAATATTTCATACCTGACTGTGCTAAATTTGAGGGTGAATTTTCCCCCACTTTGTACAATGGGGGAATAACACATCTCAACCTAAAAAAAAAACTGTCTTTACTCCAGAGCATCCACGAATTTATTGAAAATTGAACCGGTAAACCTCTTTACAAAACAAATTAAATTCAAATATAGAATATCATTGCAACTTTGTGCTAATTCTCACCTGATCAGAATCCATGCCAGCCATTAAAAATTTCTTGGACTCCAAGGCTCCCTCTATTCCATCAGAAATTTTTGAATGCTTGACCCTCTATAAAAACAACCGACAAAAATATCACATACAAATCTTTTAAACTGAAAAACTAATGATGACAAAACTTATTTTTAATGGAATACAACTTATACACTTATGGGCCACATAAAAGTGTATTTTACTCTCCTGTAACAAGGGCCTTTATTATTAATCCTACCTTTTCATCATCTACAATTTCCATGATTTGCTTCTTGAAATATTTAACAAAAATGTCAGACGAGACTTGAGCAGCTTTCTACAGAAATAAAATTGTTAGATGTAAGTATACACTGTACGTAAATAACCTGCATACATCTTCCTGTCTTTACATGTATCTTCACTTACAAGTACTTTGTTGAGCAAAAACTAAATTGTCCAATGAAACTAAGTCCGGAGATACATGTAGGGTTTTACAGTACAAGTCATGACCTAGTGGACTACCACTAGGGTCGTGAGCTGATACTCATATCAAAGTTTGTCACTGGAAAAGGATTACCCTTTAAGTCTGTTTACCATACATGCTTTTTATTAAATCTATTCCTGTATAAGGCTCTAATAATTTATCTAGTTTTCTATCCAACTGCCATCAGAACATACTCAAAATAATGTACAGACCTTGACATGATTAAGTTCTTGGTCTTCTCTTACAGACATAACATATGCAACAGCACTACTGACATCAACCTGTAAAATAACAATACAAAGTTTCAGCTTTTTAATGCAGAAGAGTAGCAAAATACATACAAGACACACTATGTCTCAAATTCTTGGCCAATGATTTTTTTTTTGGCCTTTCATCCAAATTTGGAGTCTGGGTGGTATCTGCTAACTACTGCTTATCCTCCCCTCTCATAGCAACTGGGTATACAATGTATGTTGTATACACTCCAGAAGCACTGTATCTATTATTGTTTACTTCAAAGGTAATGTTTACACGCACAGCTTTGTCTTTATGGGAGCCTTTCATAGTTGGAGTAGTCTCTGATGCAGGGAAAAAGACAGAACATGAATAGGCCACTTTAAAGTCACCTGCGGCTGCAGAATGCCATGGCCTGTCAATAGACTGGAGGTGACCATGGTTAGCTACAAACCTTCCTGTTTTTCACATGTAAATGATTATGTTCATAGGCTTATTACCTTGAGAATAACATGATTTGTACATGAAGAGCAGAAAGGTTTGTAACAAAAAAGTTCACTTCCAGCCTCACAATGCTCTGACATGACAAAATTAACTGCGAGGGAGACTGACTCCAGCCTCGCTTTTATGCACCTATCAATGTAAATCCCGTGGGGGGGGAGTGCGGGCAAGGGGAGGGGATTTGATGCCTGGGACTATCCCTGCTGTTGGGCTTTTGATCGTGCGAAGCGACCCCGGGGTCGGGACATTTGACTTTGACCGACAGAAGCCTGGTATCAATTCAGAAGCAGTTACCAAGTCCGTCCCTCGAGGCTTCCTGAAAGTCACGTTGTTGGAGAAAGGTATGAAGTTTTCATTTGTTTTAATCGCCATAATCCGACACTTTAAACTGTCATAGATAATGTCTATTTTGAGGAAGTTTTTATCTTCAAGTTCCCATCTGATTGTAAAACTCGATTGAAATCAAATTCCACCATGAAAGTCAGAGGATTTTTTATGGGTCACTGATTCGACCTGTTCCGACATGTTGAGCAGATGTTGTAAAGCATTTTACGTTTTATTAACATTATACAGCACGGTCAATCTTCCTGAAGTGATTTTGTTGTTCAAGATAAGAGATGCTAGTGGAGAGAGAAAATACTTAATTACAGCGAGTAATTTAATGGAGCTTCCATTAACTGTAAATAAAAGTAGTAACAACGTGTTTGAAATGTTCTTTTATTCGTTTTATATAGTATTATAGCATTGTTTGTTTAGATTTTTTCCCCTGGGGTGGGGGCTTTTTTGACACTTTTGATTGACCTTTCGTTTCCCACTCTGGGGAATTTGATCGAAAAATTTTAAAATTTGTCAAATCCCCACCCCTTGCCCGCACTCCCCCCCCCCCACAGGGTTTACATTGATAGGTGCATTATTCACTCAGCACCCAGCTGTAAAATGGCCTAATAGAAGAGGTCAGCATGTGAAAAAGAAAATGCCCATGAAATAACACACCCGATATTTATTAGTTTATTTATCACCAAAATTGTGAGATGATATACTATAAATGCTGTTACCGACCTTCTCAAATGATTCACTTTCAAACACTTTTTTCCACTCATCCAAAAATTGTCCTTGAAAATTATCCTTCACAAAAACACCCACTGTTTTCCCCTGAAAGTAAAATTCAACAAGAACAGTTTACATTATATCAGACATACAAACTTTAATACATGTATACTGACTACATTGTAACAAAACAAAGCGTACCCAAAATATTAACAAAAACAAGCAAAAAAAAGCCCTAGCAAGCTAAGAATGCAAGTAGTAGGAGTGGCAGTATAAGGCCATGAGTTACTTTTCCAGCACTGTTAAATTCTCCTTTTGCTTCACATGAAAATACAAGGCACTAAGCTATTTAACAGCTTAACAAAAGCAACGTTTCTGTGTTTTTCATGCACCACTTTATTATGGGCAACTGGGTGTCCACTTAAAATTAACACTAGGCACTAGTTGAACACTAAGTCTATTTCCTGGTTGACAAAACAGCTAAGTTCAGTTAACAAGTTCTTTATTAGTATAATATTATTAATTCATTAGTCATCATTAAATGGTAATCTTCAATCTGGCTTAATCTTTGTACTACATGTACACTGAAGCAGTCAAAGTCTGTTCGAAATATCGATTTTTTTGTTAACTGCATTTATTAACTACTTACAGATTTACTTTCCTTGATTGACTTGACAAGTTTTTGAAAATTTGCCTTGTCTTGATCGGTCTGTGAAATAAAAATATAGGTCTGTTTCATTACATTACTTAAAGTACATGACTACACAATACTGTATAAGCATTTACACCTGTATATATATTATTTAGCTGTTACATAATTTTACTTCTAAATCTAAATGTCTGATCTGCAAAGGGCAGTACAGCCCATCTTCAGCAGATACAAGGAAAGGAGAACAAAATGCTGAAAGTTAACCTTGGAAAAAAGGCGACATTTTGCAAAGCCACCTCTGGTTTCCTGTTGAAATGATGTCTAAGGAACAAACACAGAAATTCCATACTAGTGACATGTCACTACATGATCTTGGTAGTGCTTCTGACTGGTTGAAGCAAATTTCCCTTGCAGCACAAACAATAAGAAAGACATGACATCACTACGAAATTTCTGCGCTTGTTACTCAGATGTTATTTTGTGGGGAAACCAGTGGGGGTATTGAGAAATGTCTGCTGTTTCCTCTTCTGTTTCTGCTGTGGGACTCACAAAAATACTATGTGATATAAAATCGGCACCAACTATGCACTGAAACATCAAGTCACAGGGTTTGCAAATTTCATTGATGAGTGGAGTCAGTTTGACTTCTGCTTCACAAATTTTGGAGTCATTTTGGAATATTTGGAGTCAAGTATCAGACTTTCCAGCACGTGGTCCTGGCATGTATACACTATCGTGAGGGATACACGAAGTAGCTGTGTGGTCCGCTGACCTGGAAAACTCAAATCCATGATGGCGTAATTTACCCTCTTCCTGTTTTGTCATGCAGTATAATTCTTTAATTTCGATGACTTAATTAAGGTTTACAACGTTTGCAACTAACGTAAATTGTATTTGTTGCGAAAAAGGTAAGGACAAAACTGTGTTACCGAAAATTTCTGGAGTCAAAGTGGCTCCCTGTTTGTTATCAAAAATTTTTGGAGTCGAAGTGACTCCCTCCGTAACTTCAGTGGAGTCATCTGAACAATTTTGGCATAAAATACGCCACATTTGGCGTATTTGCGAACCCTGAGTTAAGTGTAGGGTAGTAAACTATGCAATACTAAAAGGTCACTCGAAAGTCACAGCGTACAAAAATCCTTATCACCTTGTCCCGCAGATGGAGCTCTATTGATGGAGAACTGCTTAATTTTTTCTGCATGTCTTGAACAGGCCTCAGGAAGTCAATTTTCTTTTTGCTTGCAAGAAAGTGAATTGAAGATTCACACAGCACTATAACTGTATCTGCCAGTTCATACCCAAACAACCATTGCTAGACAAAGACAAACAACATGAAATAGACAGATTTTTATATGGACTTCTTTAAAGAATTTTGCTTATTTATGATTTGAAAAAATGCAGAGGGAGTGGAGGGAAATATGAAGAGTTGTCAAATTATATTGTCTACTACAAACGTACACTTTTTTAATTCCTACAGGCATTGGTATTAAGTGAGGTTTCTTTAGCCAATTGATCCATCTTCACAAGTTCCTGGACTATGGTGCATTTATAACAATTTATAACATCTCTCAATAGGAATAAAAAATGATAATCATCGCTGGTTTTGATAAAATGTCATAAAGGCCCAATTAAATATCGACAAATCACAGCAAGCAAAATTTTACATGCTGAAAAAAATAAAGAAAACCGCTCAACTGACTGCTTGACATTGCATGGAAAATATTTGCAAAATGTCCATTTCGTTTACTAAAAGTTGGGTAGATACGTCATGTACAACGTACTTATGATACAACTCAATAAGCTCACATGTGAATACGAAAACCCACAAACCGTACTTACACTGGAATTATTATTTTACCTGGATGGCTGTCGATTTACTATAAATAACGTCCTCATCTTGTCCAACTGCAATAACAACTGCATCAACACTTGGAAAGTTTGTACCATTATCTTCCGTCGTCTCCTCTTTCTGAAATTCAAGACAGCGCATCGAACGAATTAAAAAGACGAAGTCGTGACGAAATACAACGACTTCACTGACCCACATAACACCCCCAAATTTTTACCTTCCAAGCGTCGTAAATCCTTTTGATTCGTCGAAAAAAGGCGTCTTTGTCGAGTGAGATTTTTGAGGTCGCCATATTCTCTTTCGTTCGAAAAATCTACATTGGCGAAATCTTCGAACACACGAGAGGACAAAATGGCGGGAATAAAATCTTACTAAGCGACGTCACGAGTACTTCAACCAATAAGAAAACTGTTTAGATTGCCTTCCATGCGTCTTACCGCTGACCGTGACATTAGATTTGTAGCGATTTGTAGCGAAGAGAGCAAACTTTGCTGGATGTTTTCGGTTCAAGTGAGGGGCGAAAGGGTACATATTTCTGTTTCACAGTGAGTAAACTTACACCTCCTGTTATTTTTAGCTTATCTTGCTGCCGATTTTCGTTTCAATTTACAGTCGATTACAGATGACCGATATAAAGGCGTCATGTTAATGCTGTTCTCTGTATCAGCTGTTGTAAACAATGTATAGTGGAACTGCTTGCCCTGCCTCTTTCTGTGCATGTTTTCCGTTATAGATTTTTTTTTTGGAGGTGTTATCACCTTGCAAATTCTTCTTACAGTTAGCGTCATAGAAGGTCAATGAAATATAGCAGTCGGAAAAATATCGCGCTCACACTTACGTTAAATTAATCGGTTGATTAATTTGAAAACGGAACGTATTTGATTTCCTGGGACCCGGCGGGGAGACTACGGATTGCAAATGACGGGGATGATCGAATGGGAGCAAAAATCAAACCCCCAAAAAATCTCATGCCGAATTTCTCAACCTTAAAAATTTCCAGAAAGCATTAAAATAACACGAAAAATAAAAACAGTTAATAGGACTAGGCGGCCGTAATACGCGGGCACTGACCACGATTCTTCAGATTGTTTTGAATTACCCAAAAAAATCCCGGAACTGAAAATCCTTTGATCATCCCTGTCACTTGAAGTCTGGAGTACTCCGCTGGGTCTTGGACAGGGGGAGGGGGGATCTTGTAATCTGGCACCCCTGCAAATTAACACGACCATAGTTTTGGGCTGGGCATGAAGTAAATATAAGAAAGTTCTGGAGTTTTTGGCATCGAATGCTGATAAGAATCCATGCTTTGGGTGTGTCAAGCCTTGCAAGGAGAAATATTGGGAAAAGAAATTGCAAACACTAATGCAGTTTAGTTTTATTGTATTACTCCAGTGTTTCTTGGTGTCCAACAGCATCACTCATGTAGATAACACCTTAGTTCATCACCTGGCGATAAGAATCAGTGATAAACAATATTCAGTTAAGTCGTTATCAGAATCAATATTAATCAATTGAATTTATTGAAATGTTTTATTATAAAACCTGGCTTCCTGCAATTTTTTGGACTGGGCCTATGCACCTAAGCCTTTTCTGCCCCACTGTATGAATGCTCTTTTGGAAGAACATGTACAGTACTGCATGCCATGCACTTTTTTAGGTGTTATTACAGCCATGGGCAGTGACAGTGTTTTTTAAATAAAAACTGGCTGGCAC